CACGTAAGAAAACGGAAAGGGTGAGCGCAGTCGGGAAAGTATCAAGAAAGGGTGAGGTTAATCTTGCGACAACCAGCATAAAAGCCAACAGCAAACGCAGGCAAGGTGGAGTTTCAGACACACACAAAAGGGTAAGGTTCATTTTGAGAAACCTAGCAGAAATGCAAACAGGCTGAGGTTGGTCTTAAGAAATCCCCAGAACAAATAGGCAATGCCCAAGGGAAAGGCCAATCTTCAGAAACACCGGACAAGCTGACGAGGGTAGGTTCAGCAAGCCAAGCATTAAACAAGCAAGCAAAGCAAATCAGGGTCATCTTCAGAAACCGCGCGGGGAAGAATGCAAGCGGTTGTAGTATCGTAAGAAAACTCGCCGGCCAATGCTCTTAACAAAGGTGATCTTTACCCCAGGAAAACCGACAGAGGATAATCGTAAGAACAGCCGGCACCCACACAAGTTGAGGTCTATCTCAAGGACGCCCGCATAAACACAAAAACCACAACACAGGGGCACAGGCGCACAAGGCTGTACGACAAACGAACACATCAATAGAAAACACGATACTGTGCAAATAAACATAAGCAGGCCTCGGAGAGAAAACAAAAACAAAGAGCACAAGAGATTAACCTTAACAAAAACACGCATCTTGGAAAAGCACCGAGAAACAAACACTACAACACCTGACCACCATGCCATTTCCAACAGGAAAAACATCTCTTTCCCCTTGCGGGGTAAAAAGGTTGAGGGCATTGCCCTGGGGTAAGTACTTCACAGGCTCAGCATGGGACCCAGAACCAGGGTTCTCTTATCAAACGGATCTGGAAGATTCCCTTGGTGTCTTCCCTCCTGCGCTGGCTCTGCGGCCCTTCCGCCGCGCGGCAGCCACCCCCACCAGCGGGGAGGTCTTCTCAGACATCGCGGCGTGCAAAGCCGCGAAGTTCTCCCTCTGCACCTCGGGAGACATATGGCGTCACAATCAAAACCACGGTATTCAGATGGACGACCCAGAACCATGCTTCAAGAACTAAGAAGGCGGATATCCGCAGCTATTTATGGCTGGGATTGTTCCTTACTAACCTGCATCGACCCGGGTTTTGATTGTGGCTCATGTGGCGTCAGGTAGCCGGATTTTGGGGTGGTTTCAAGAAATGGAAGGGAAAACCAAGGCGTTTGGTTTCAGACACACCCATGCGGATCTCATTGGATTGCTTTGCGGGCAGCTACCCTTTCAACCATTTTAGTTCAAGACATAAGCAAAACCTGATACTACAGACTACACAAAGCTATATCAAGATGTAAGGCTTGGAAGCACTCCAAACCCGCCCTGTGTGGTTGTGGGTCTTGGATTTGATGAAAGGCAAGGAATCAGGGACCAAGCGGGAAAAAAAGGACCCCAGTTGAGGGAAGCCACATTTCCAGCAGGACCAGGACCCATTTTGGGGTGAGCCACTTCATCACGAAAACCCAAACAAAAACCCAACCCGCTGGACCATCCCTTTTGACACCTTGTTTTGACGTACCAAGAAAAATCTTGAGCCAATATGAATCCAATTTAGCAGTTTACAACGGACCGGTGACCAGTCCGTTGAAACCAGTGGATGGCTTCCATCCTTGAGGGACAGGGGTCCCTGGGCTTCCCTCCAAAAGCTCCACTCTCTTGAAGTCGAAGTCTTGGTGGTTCACCTGCCACTTCTCAGGGCTACCAAGGGTCGCTAAGGCCTCCCGAGGGCTGTCAAAGGCTAAAGGGCTACCAACTCTCGGTTGCTTTCTGCTCCCCTGCTAAAAGTGACTAACTTTTAGTGCCCCGCATGATGATAGTGGTTTAATACGGAAAGCCCAGTAGTTGGCAACAAGTGAAAGTCCTAACATCCAACCAAAATGCAACAAAGAACTGCTGGGTGACCAGTCGGGTGCCGAGGCGCCCCCAGGCGGCTGGCCCCGGTGTCGATGATGCCGCGGCAGCCGTGCGGCGCAGCGCAGGCGTGCACCGTGAGGTTGCCCAGGCGGACGCTTTGGATGGCCACCTCCCAGAAGCCGTCCTGACATTTAGAATGCCCGGTGCAGCTGCTTAGCAGGTGAGTCACAACCAAAACCCCCAGAACCATGCTTCAAGAACTAAGAAGGCGGATATCCGCAGCTATTTATGGCTGGGATCGTCCCTTACTAACCTTCACTTGCCCGGGCTTTGATTGTGGCTCAGGTGAGAAACATGGAGATAAGACCGTATACCTATTGCACCTTAAATATTGGCATTGCCTTAAGCTTACTGAGGAAGCCCGGTTTGTCCAGAAGCCATGGATCTAAGAGGACCA